GTCTCACACACACGTATTCCAGGCTTACTCACACTTGTGCTCCAGACCACCCTGTCCCTCCTCCCTCGTAAACGGGGGAACGGATCCTGTTTGTGGGGCTCTCTGCCGCCCCGAGCTGGTTACGGCGCGCAGTGCAGGCCGTTTCGCCGCACGTCTTCCAGTGCAGGCTGCTGTCACTGTGTTAAGGACTGAAAATGCCGACCATTTCTTAGTTCTTTAGCATCACTTTAGAAACAGCAGAAAAATAACAAATCTTGAATTTGAAACCTCATCCACTACTTGCATAGTCTAAATTTGTGGTTATAAATATGAATTGTACTACATAGTAATAAATCGCAGTTTTTTGCATTAAGTATGGTTATTGGAAGCAGGTGAACAGATGTTTTCATATTTTCATTATCAATGGCTTCAAAACACATTAGAGCTTGACTCAGTCCACACCCTAATCCGCCATTTTGCTGCATGACCAAAGCTGTGAGTGAGACTGAGTGTACAGCAGTCCTCTTATTAAAATGATTTTATTGTCCTTGTTCCATCCAAGTGGTTTGGATTAGTGCCACCTTCTGACCAAATTGGGTATTGCTTCCTGAATGTGGTTGTAGCCATTAGATCTTCGTCTTTTGTTGACACATGCTTTTAAATACATTGATCTCTTGTATTTTGATGCTAAAAGCCCTTCTGGGCTCCTTGCTCTTCCGTTCCCCCTGTACCTCTCTCCATCTCTCTCATTCTTTTTCTCCCTGTCACCTTCCCCGCTCAATCGCCTTCTTTTACTTGGAGAAGAAGGCGTACATACTGAAGAGCTGGACAATGAGCTAGGTAGGCACCTTCCCCTGCCTAGCTGTAGAACACATGAGTATTCCTCTTCACTGGCCGTGTTCTGCCCCCCCCCCCCCCCCCCCCGGAGTTTGCTCCTGGTCCATGTTGTCCATGTGGTTTGTGTTCGTCCTAATAATAGCTGATGGAACCAGTTACTTTCATCTGTCTCACTCTCCCAACCCCATTAATGTCATATTTATTCTGGAACTGGGCACTGCTTCCCACCCATCACTGGTTACCGGGTCAAACTGAAGTCTGTTTAATATGCCCGGGTTGGTTAGCTGGTCCCGACGGGTGATCGCAGGGCTTACGGCTGCCAGTCTGATTTGGGAAGGCGTTCCTGGCACTTTGTTCCAATACCGCACTGCAGTTTCCCAGCGCTAATCGTCAGTTTTGAAATATGCTATCGGTACCGTCCAAATAGTACTTGGTTTTGCTCTGCTGTGGGCACCTGGAAGGCCGCCCAGGTGTCAGTAATTATTGACGGCATGTTTTCTGTCAGGGAATTTTGAATGGAATGTTTGTCTCCAGCCAAGCTAATTAGCAGCTTTTTGCGGATTTCCCCCTCTGGGTTACTTTGAATGGGAGAGCTTACCTCTGGTGGGCCTCAGAAGTGGTGCTGCTACGGTGCTATTGTTGGCATTTCTGCAGGGATAACATGGTAGAAAGTCCCTCCCTGCCAGGCACACACTCATTGAGGTAGCTCTTCAGGGTTGTTACAAGCTAAGGGTTAGCTGAACAAACCGCTAACAGTTTAGCTGCTTCTGTAATGCACATGTAGCCTGTGGCCACGGTATGTGAGCTCGCTAGGGGCCTAGCGGTGGTTGACCTTTTCGCTTCTTGAGTGAGCCATGATTTTCCCATCTGAACTCCTTACCTCTGCCATTCTGATTGGCTAAGATATAAGTGTGGCTACATACACCCCATTACGCATATGAACAAGGGCAGAGATGAATGACCCTGCAGGGTCGAAGCACTGCTTCAGGTGCATGAGGCACTGCTTCAAGTTCATGAGGCACTGCTTCAGGTGCATGAGGCACTGCTTCAGGTGCATGAGGCACTGCCCCCACCCCATATGCATATTTAGCAGAGGTGTTGTGATGTCATCACACTCCTCTAGTACAGGTGCTCTTTTGCAGGTTGAGTATGTTGGTGTGCAGGGACTTGACCTGACTGACCTGTGACAACATGGAATTGACTTGGACTGACCCAGAAAGCAGAGAGGGAGAATATGAAATTCAATTGTGTGATTGGAATTTGAGAACATCCCATGAATGGATGTGGTCCTGTGCTGTGTCTGTTGTTGGGGTTCCCATGAACACTGTGCCCTGAACACTGTGCCCATGTGTCTTGTTAGTGGAGCACAGAGTACGGTTGGCCATTTGGGCAGGACACAAGTCATATACAGTAATATTGTGTCATTGTCTTGTATGACAAGGAGACTCTGCAAAGTGTGGCTTTTGACTGACAATCAGCTGTAGCTTAGTTTGTGTAATTCCTCTGTACCTTCCTCGGGGGGGCCTTGGGGTGCGACTATGGCTGTGGGAACCTACAGCAGCCGCACGGCTGATCTGACATACTTCTCTGGAGCCTCGGAGCTGCAAGAAGCATCAGGCGAACTGCTTTCACAGGATGCTCGTAATGACCGTCTCACATCTTCTCTCTGTTTCAGAGCTTCCAGCTGGTTGGGAGAAGATAGAAGACCCTGTATATGGAGTGTATTACGTCGAGTAAGCCAACCTTAATTTTGACTTGGTTTCAATGTTCTCCTCTTAACCTTAGCATGTTTTTCAAATGACCATTGAAGTCTGTGGTGTTTCTGATGCAGTTCAAATAAAAGATGAATGTTTGCTCAGCACCTGCCCGTCTTACTCAAACGCAGCGCTCGTTGGATGCACTGCGAATCGGCAGTGTGCACCTGCCTGTCTTACCCAAACGCAGCGCTCGTTGGACGCACTGCGAAGCGACAGTGTGCACCTGCCTGTCTTACCCAAACGCAGTGCTCGTTGGACGCACTGCGAAGCCGCAGGTGCCGACTTTTCACGATCCCGCTCGATTTCCCTCTCCCCCTCCACCCCACCCCCAGCCACATAAACAGGAAGACGCAGTATGAGAACCCCATCCTGGAAGCCAAGAGGAAAAAGCAGCTTGGTCAGCAGCCAGTGGAAGGTGAGCGGCTCATCCGAGGTTCGCGCGCCAGCCTCTTGCTTTTCGTGCTGCTGGTTACCTTTCTCTGTCCTTATGTCCAAAATGCAGGGTCATTTTTTTCATCAAAGTGTTTCTCTGTTTGTCTTGGTGTTGTCTAGCTTCAGAGGACCTTAATTAACACCACAAAAACCTTTACAAGGTTACACAAGTGGGATTTAGCTACATTCTGAAATGTGTTTCAGTGCGATGTGTTTAAACTATTCCAGGATGCTGCATAAATACTTACGACTGTATTCAATTTTCCACTTCAGTTCCAGATTTCTCCCTTTGTTAACCTAATTCTTCATGTCAGAAAATGCTGTGAATGCTTTGAGACCAGGTTGTGCTGCAATTGGATGTTGAATTGGTTCATTTGTTAATAAAATTAGCTGGTATGACTGGGTAGGGTATAACCTGTCGGTGTCATTTCCCATTTAAAAATGAGAATTTGGGGCTAATTGATTCACCCCTGTTGGGGAGGGTGAGCTATGGCCGTCTAGAATGGCGTGCTAATTCTGTAAGCTGATAACAATCCACCATGCTCCTCTGTTCCTGCAGAGTGGATAGAAGAGCGTTCTTCAGCTGGGCCACCTCTGGCCAGCTTCCCCAACAGCCACCAGGAGACATACCGGGATCCACAGGCGGCACCCCCCCTTCCACCTCCGCTGGGGGCCAAACGTAAGTGTCCCTCCATCTGAACACTACTGCCATCATCTTTGCTGTCTGACTGGCACTGTGACAAGCATCCAGTCAGTCTAAAGCATGAAGCCGACATCTTGAAACCAAGGTTGAGATCTAGACCAGGGAGCCAGGCTTCATACTGGGATGCTCTGCTAGTCACAAGCATCTGCACCTGCCAGCCTCGGCTTTGCCAGTGATGCCAGCCAGGTCATTAAGGAGAGGGCAGTGCCACAGGAACAAGTGACCCAGTTTGGACCACAGCCAGTTTGCCTAATTTTGATGTATGTATTGTCCTGTCCTGTTGTGATGATGGACCCCACTCTTGTGATCGCTGATGCCCCTTGTGCATCTCCGTTGTGTGGCGTCTTGGTGCCGATATCCACAGCCTGTCTGAATCACATCCACACAGGCAACCGCGACATTAGCTTCTCTGTCATACTGGCGGTATTCAGTCTTGGTCTGACTTCCCTGATGTCATCACTGTGACACAGTGTCTGACTGTTGGTCTCTGCTCCAGGCGGGAAACCCTTCTTCACAAGGAACCCAGCCGAGCTGAAGGGGACCTTCATCCACACCAAGCTGAAGAAGAGTCGCCGGGGCTTTGGCTTCACGGTGGTCGGCGGCGACGAGCCAGACGAGTTCCTGCAGATCAAGAGTTTGGTGCTAGATGGACCTGCTGCTCTGGATGGAAAGATGGAGACTGGTCGGTTGTTTTGGATCTAAGACTAGATTTTCTTGGCTTATCTGCAATTGTGATTTGTCAGATATGGAAACTGTGTCGGTTTTCCCACAGGTGATGTGATCGTCAGTGTGAACGAGACCTGTGTCCTGGGCTACACGCACTCCCAGGTGGTGAAGATCTTCCAGTCCATCCCCATCGGCTCCATGGTTGACCTTGAACTTTGCCGGGGCTACCCCTTACCGTTTGACCCTGACGATCCCAATACTAGCCTGGTCACATCAGTAGCCATACTGGACAAGGAGCCCATCATTGTGAATGGGCAGGAAAGCTACGACTCTCCCACCAGCCGTGGAAGCCAGCCGGGTGGCGGCATGAACGGTGCCAAGGAGCCCCGCCCCTACAGTCCGTCTGCCGAGGTTGCGCCTGATGGCACGCCCGCTTACCCCAGTGACGTCGTGACTCTTGCGTCCTCCATTGCCACGCAGCCCGAGCTCATCACAGTGCACATGGAAAAGGGCGAAAAGGGCTTTGGATTTACCATTGCCGACAGCCCCACTGGGGGCGGCCAGAGGGTGAAACAGATCGTCGATTACCCCCGCTGCCGGGGCCTGAAGGAGGGGGACATTCTGGTGGAGGTGAACAAGAGGAACGTTCAGAGCATGACTCACAACCAGGTGGTGGACCTGCTGAGCAAGTGTCCCAAAGGAAGTGAGGTCACCATGCTGGTGCAGAGAGGTAGGCATCCTGCGCACGGCGAGAAGCTGCAGTTGCTTGTGGGATGTTATTATTTCTTTCTTTTTTTTTTACTTTTTTACAAGATTTGATCATCAAATCTTGCCATTAAAGCTCTAGGACTTCACTCTTTGTATGAAGAAGGTCGGATCTTAGTTTGAATTTATTGTGACTTAGCTCTTACCTCCACCTGCCCACGCTGTACGTGAGCATGTGAGTGCGGACGAGTGAGTACGGGTAGGGGTGGGGGCTTTCAGAGGGGTCACTGTGACCTGATTGGATGAGGACCCTCAGAAAGGACCTCGCGCAGGGAACAGTCCCAGTCGGAGAGTTAAATGAATCGAGACTTTGTTCTTGTGGATCTCAAGGCCTTGGGCACAGTTACAAGGAAAACTCTGTTTGTGCTGCAGAAGCCTGGCTTTCAGCTGCAGTCAGTTTTGTGGCCTTTGTTGTCTTTCACATAGATTAAATTGTAAGTTGGTAAAGGTTGCATATGGCTTGGCTGTGGTGAGCAAAAGTCCACGGTCTGTCTCTGGGATCAAATACAGTCGTGCATTTCAGTATTTTAATAGGAGGTAAAACTAAAAGCCTGCTGAAGAATAACAGCCAAAGGCATTGTTGTTAGCCCTGAGTGGAGGATAATTTTGAGTTAAAATGTCAGTGTGTGGTTCCTTCAGTGGCTTCAGTCCCCACACACAAAGCGATGTCAGGCGCATGTGAAATGCCGGCTGCAGCCTGCCATCGCGGTTCGCCTGGTAGCTTGTTAACTATTCTATCGCGTCTGCAGTCACGTATTACGACCATTAAAAGCTTGCCTAATATTAAGTGTATTAAGTATGAAGTACTTGCCTTGTATTAAGCGATGGGCTTCCCTGGCTAGCTAGCCCCGACAGCTGGTTTAGGCTGTGGCCCAGGCCCCCCCGGGCATGCCTGCCCCTCCCTGGACAGAATTGGTGACCGGCTACCTTTACAGGCTCATTCCTTGGCTGTTCACGGCATGCAAGTTTTTGATTCCGGCGTCCTGAAGGGGATCTGCTGCCGGAGAGAGCGATGGTGCACTTTAATTAGGCCTCGCCATCTCAGCATGGCATTAATTGGCGTTCTTGATCTTAGCGTTGTTCCTCGCTACACTAAATCTGTCACAAGTCATTTCACGGGCAGCCAATTAGAGCCCCGGACCCACTTTTGCCTGAAAGCCCGAGGAAAGCTGTAATCGACATTGTGGTTTTTATTTATTTATTTGTCCATCCATCCATCCATCCATCATCTCCCGCTTAATCCGAGGTCGGGTCGCGGGGGCAGCAGTCTCAGCAAGGAGATCCAGACTTCCCTCTCCCCGGCCACTTCCTCCAGCTCCTCTGGGGGAATCCCGAGGCGTTCCCAGGCCAGCTGAGAGACATAGTCCCTCCAGCGTGTCCTGGGTCTTCCCCGGGGCCTCCTCCCAGTGGGACATGCTCGGAACACCTCACCAGGGAGGCGTCCAGGAGGCATCCTAAGCAGATGCCCGAGCCACCTCATCTGGCTCCTCTCGATGCGGAGGAGCAGCGGCTCTACTCTGAGTCTCTCCCGAATGACCGAGCTCCTCACCCTATCTCTAAGGGAGAGCCCAGCCACCCTGCGGAGGAAACTCATTTCAGCCGCTTGTACTCGCGGTCTCGTTCTTTCGGTCACTACCCACAGCTCGTGACTATAGGTGAGGGTAGGAACGTAGATCGACTGGTAAATCGAGAGCGTTGCCTTTTGGCTCAGCTCCTTCTTCACCATGACAGACCGATGCAGCGCCCGCATCACTGCGGACTCCGCACCAATCCGCATGTCGATCTCCCACTCCATCGTCCCCCCACTCGTGAACAAGACCCCGAGATTCTTAAACTCCTCCATTTCACACTCAGCTGCGAACTGTCCAAGTGAGAGCTGAAGGTCACGGTCTGATGAGACCAATGGAACCACATCATCTGCAAAAAGCAGAGACCTAATCCTGAGGTCACCAAACCGGACACCCTCAACGCCCTGGCTGCACCTAGAAATTCTGTCCATAAAAGTTATGAACAGAATCGGTGACAAAGGGCAGCCCTGACGGAGTCCAACCCTCACCGGAAACAAGTCCGACTTATTGCCGCCCATGCGGACCAAACTCTGGCACCGGTCATACAGGGACCGAACAGCCCTTAAAAGGAAGCCCGACACCCCATACTCGCGGAGCACCCCCCACAGGACTCCCCGACGGACACGGTCGAATGTCTTCTCCAAGTCCACAAAACACATGTAGACTGGTTGGGCAAACTCCCACAAATGTGTTTCCTTGTGCAGGGTCCGCTGGAAATGCATGAACCTTGTTAAAGCTGGCGCGATATGCAGCATGTCTCCCGCCAAACTGTCGGCAGGCACGGGAAAGGGCTGTTAGACGGCCGACACACCGGCAATGTCAGAATGGGCCTCGTGGTGAAGTCATTGCCATAAAAGTATGGCAGCAAGTTTTGAATCTCATCTTGGGTGTCCTCCCTTTGTCCTCTGTACCTCCGGGGATAGGCTGTGGGCTCTAGGCCCTCTGTGACCCTGTACTCCATGAGCAGTTTTAGGACTTGGATAGATATATTAATTTTAATATAAAATGACCTCACACAATGTCTTCATGCCCTGCAACCCCTAAATTCAATTCAGCATTTTGGATATGGTATTACAAATCCTCATTTAGATACTTAATGCATATTCATATGCTCGCAGGTAGCAATACATCTAGATACATTCACTTCCTCTCCATGTTGTCTTTACAGTAATGATATTCTGGCATAATCAGTTTAGCCTGCGCAAGGGTTTATCTAACGGTTAATGGTTTAAATGTCATCATCACTCAGAATGAGGTAGGGATCCGTTACACTATTGGGGGCCGTTGGGAGGGCTGGAGTTTGTGTGTCGTCTTCGGTTGTGGTAGACATTGGCGTGTCTTAAACGGCTGTCAGTGGTAGAAGGCCGTTTGGTTGGAGGTCACCTGTCTCCAAGGTGTTGGGAAGGATGGCTGGTTTGGTTATGAAGCCAAGCCACCTGACAGGTGCTTATCGCAGTACGATTCGCCAAAAGGAGGAGTGACCGAGAGCCGCTCAGGTTAACTTGGCTATCCATAAGGAGTGTCGCGGGAGTGACCGAGAGCCGCTCAGGTTAACTTGGCTATCCATAAGGAGTGTCGCGGGACTGTATATCTGAGCTTAACAGCACGTTACGCTCTC